TTTGTCTCCCAAGATCTTTGGAGTCACCCAGAACAATGTGGCATAACGGGAAAGTGTCCTTGGTGAGAAAAAAAAACCCAATAAATTTTCTCCAGAAGCCTGACATAAGGAGTAGGATGCGCCTGCATTGCCTCCAACTTCTGCTATTTCGTTCTTTTTTCCTTTTTTAATATATTGCCATCAAGAAGAGACACCCCAGCTGCATTTTCCTTTGGTTCAGCGGCTTGGATGTTGAACTCTAACATTTTCACAGGGATGACAAAGCTGAGAAGGGTTTCCTGTGTGTGTCTGCAGCAATGGACAGGACCGGGAGCACTGCTCTGCTGAGACAGCAGGCAGGTGGAAGGGCTGCGGAGGTACTTCACGGGGATAAGTCGCTCCATGCATTCCCAGTCCTTGCTGGAAAGGCCGTGTCGTTTTCTCGGGGTGCTCCTCTGAGCACCTCTGTAGTTTCCACGTCTGATGGGGATGACCATGTGTGTGAGAAACTCTTTAAATGAAACAAGAAAACCAAAGAGATTAAACAGCACCCATTACTCTGTTCAGAAGTCCTCTCAACTGCCTGGTGAGGCAGCGGCTGGCTGCTGCTTCCCTCCTGCCAGAGGTCCTCCAGAGCTCTCTGCTGCCACCGGTCCCAGGAGCTCTGCCACAGCCTGCCGGGAGGAAACCATGAACTGGGCTGATGCAACATACGCTTTCTGCAGAAAAGCATGGAAAGCAGACAGCGTGGACCCAGCCCAATCTCCCAACAGCCAGTGAGGACAAATTTTGAGGGGAAAGACCGTGGCAGAGCATGCTTGTTGCCTGTGAGCTTAGCTCACAACCAAGGAAGACGCTGTTAATTGCAGATCTAAAACTCCTTTGTTTGTCTAATTAATGTCTTCTCAACCTAACCAGAATACAACAACTTATTTAGTCTGGTTATTATATAGGTGCTTATAATCTAAACGACTTAATTATTGATGGGAATTAGCAAAAACTAAGATTGCTATACACACGTCTCCCAGAGTTGCACCATGCTTTGGTGATGCTCCCCCATCCTATGCAATGTTATGAGAGGCCATCAGCTTCCCAGGTCCTTTACCAGGAGAACTATGATGACAATAGCACGTGTTGGGGGAAGGGTCTTCCTCTGTGGTCTTGAGTTTGCTCAGAATTACTTCTGTGTGTCAACCCTGTATTTCTTAATGGGTGACAGTCTTTCCCCTGCTGTTTGCCCACAAGCTTATGTACACCACGATCCTTTCTCCTTATACAATATGATTTCTTTTAAGGGGGAGATCCGTGCAATTGGACAAAATAATGCAAAGCTTAAACTAAAACACATTTGGGAAAAATAGAGTTAAAAGAAACCCCAAACCACAGGATAGTGGGAGGCATTTGAACATTCGGTTATTCTGCTATTGAATCTAAGTGAGGTTAGGCAACGGACCTCTGCTCGTTGGGAAAACTGTAGGCACGGGAAAGGCTCTTAAATAATGACCAGGACAATCAACTAATCTGCAGACCTGCTCCAGAGCTGCAGCCACAAAGCTGGGTAGGTGTGGACAGACGAGCAGTGCCAGTGGGCAGGCGTAGCTGAGCCTCTTGGGGCTTCCCAAGTGCAAGCAGTCTCATGTTCTCATTTACAAGAGCTAACTGGGCAGGGTATTTTATCTCTCACTTAGCAGTTTACCTCTCTTAGATCACTTTTTGCTCTGTCTTTCAGGATTGCCGTCCCACAGTACTGTCCCAGACTGTTGCCTTGTTGGTTCTTTCGCATTGCTTGTAGGGTATGTGTTTTAGGAGTCCTACCATATTGGTTAAGCGGCCTCAGCGATCCCCTCCTTCCCCAGCCATCGCCTTCCCATGAAGGGCTGTGAATCAGCGTTGCCTCAAATGAGAATTTAGTCAGAGGAAAACAGAGAAATGTGGCCCAAATTCTGTCGTTGTTACATAAACCCCCTTGCTGAACATCTGGAGAACATCTGAAGTTTAACAAAGCCGGCCTGCAGGCAGAGGCATTTTTGACCTTCCCTGTAATGGAAGTATAAAAATTGAGACTGAAGAGAGGGGAGTAAATATAACCAGAAATGGAAGACAAAATGGATCCAGCATATTGGGGCCAAATTTGGCCCAAACACCCGACAAGGGCTCCCACAATCCTGCCTGGACAGTGCACGGGCACGGGGAGAGACAAGGCAGCACGCCTAAACACGAGGTGTTGGGCACTGCTCAAAAATCCCTGCCGGTCCCTGTCTTTTGGGGGAAGATGGCTCTTCACCGGGCTCTGTTTAAAACTGTGTTTCTTCTGGGCAAACTGGAATTTAAAGGGAATGCTTAGATTTTTCTCATGGGTAAAACTGACAAACACTCCAGAACTGAGGCTTGGAAACCAACAATTTTTGCTGGTTTGGGATTTTCTTCCCCTTTCAGTAAAGGGAAAAAAAAAGCAAGGGCATGGGGTGGGGGAGAAGCAAGACAGAAGAAGGAAAAACCCCTCCTGCCACCTGCTTTTTTAGCAAAAAGCTGTAAACCAGCCCAAAGTTAGCGCAAGCTTTCTCCAGGTGTCTCCTGCATCCCTGCATCTGACACGGCCCAGCTGGGGTGTGAGGGGGGCATATCCCCAGGAGGGTGCAGGAGCTGTATGGGGGGGGGCAGCCCCCTTTTCCCACCCCCGTCGCTGGCAGCAGTGCATCCCACCGGCTGGGCAGCCCTAGCAGCAGGGGTGTAACCCAGGGCCTCGTCCCTACCACGTTCCCTTCCTCCATGGATGATTCACGCCGAGGACTGCGGCAGGCCGTTAAAAAATATTTCTTGGGCTGTAACAATAACTGCTTTTATTAGGGCAGACGTGAAGGCGTTTTTTCCTGACTTTCTGTGGAGAGGAGAGCGGGACATCCGATACAAACTGCAGCCACCCGCAGAGCCTGCCCAGAGGTGCTCCTCAGACTTTCCAGCTGTGAGTGAGCTGTACCAATCGCTGCGGGACAGCCAGGGAGCCCAAGAAGCATCTCAACTGAGATGCTTGGCCCAGGAGAGAGCATGACTAAGAGGAGGATGTGAGACAAGGGGGAAGCAAGGCAGTACCTCTCCGTTACAGAAACAGGACGTGAATGTGGTCCCGTCTGGGGAACAAGTGACTGTGCATGCATCCACAGTGAAAGGCTGCAACAAGCTCCTGGGACGTATAGGTATGGCCTGGGAGCTTCCCCAAAGATAGGCACCCTTTAGGTGTAAAATAAATGTTTGGGGGAGCATTGAGCCTGGCAAAGCTGGGTGAGATGTTTGATACCTCCACCACTATCCTGGTCTGCAGAGCAGCATCCCCACATGCCCAGGAAGTGAGGTACTAAGGAGAGACTGAACATAAGCAGAAAACAAACACAGCTTACCTCTTCACCATCCCTCTGCACCTGGTCTTCTGGAAACAACAGTACCTACCTGTGTAGTTAGGTTATTTTGCCACCAGAAGGCAAACAGAAGCTGCGTAAGCATCTCCCACCCTTTGGTAGCTCAGTGCTCTTCTCATACAGGTTTTATGCGCTATTTCGTAATGAAGAGAATTCACAGGGTTTCTCAAATCCATGGCATTCAATAATAGCCAGATATGCGATGCAAAAGCAACAGATCTTCTCTTCTTCTATCCCTTACAGTTTCATGTGAGAAGTTCTGCTGAAATCCTCTCAGATCCCATCAACCTCTAATTTTACCAACTGGCTTTTTGCACATTTGGAACTCTTGAAATTCAAGTCAGAGAACCTTCCAGTGAGATTGTGGAAAACAATTTATTTGACAAATTTCCGAAATGGACAATTTTAGTAAAACACAGGCATAAAATAAAACTAACTTGTACAATGGGTTTTTGGATACAAAGTAAAGAGTTTGGGATGCCGATACCTGGCAATCACTGTTGCTTTCTCAGAAGCGCATGAATTCATAGCAAGAGCACCAATGGAAGCACTGAAACAAAATCTCACCAGCCAAACCACATCTTCAGCGTGGTCCTGGAAACAACTGTGTAAACACCAGGGGCCTGCATCACCCACATAGTGATAGCACCTTTGTCAGTATATCCATAGGGTGTGAGTCAAAGACCCCAGCAGATAATGGCAGCCTTTCCCTTGACTTTGCTGGGCTGTGGATGAGGCCCTAATTCAATATATAGTACAGTTAGTGGGTTTCCCTAGGGCCCAGGTGCCTAACTCCGAGATGGTCCTATAGAGACAGTATTCCCAGAGAGCTCATTGGGAATTAGACAGCTTGGCACTTTTGAAAAAAAATAAAATAAAATTAAAAAATCCCACTAACTGGGCTCAGAGATATTTTCCAGAATGGCGTTTGGACCATAACACAAGTCATCAGGTTATTCATGAGGTTCCTGGTTTCACTGTAGGACCATGAGATCAGTTAGAGGAGTGCAGTTACGTAGCTTCTTCTAGGGTTCCCCCCTCCCCGGTGGCTGCTGTCCATCTTTCATTTGGTCGGTGCCCAGCCTCCCTGCCCTGAATGGGAGTGTCAGTGCTGAGGGATGCTCTACCACCTACTTCCACCCCAGCCCTGGGAAGTCAGTGTCCCATCCCATTGCACTGGAGGCCAGAGATGCTTCCACCCAGCTTGGGTAACATCGTCCAGCCCTCCCCTACCAAGCATGGGAGACAAGAACTAAATTTTCCAGCAGTGACAATGATCCCCTCTCAAGGCTTGCTGAAGTGTTGTGAATGTTTCACTTGAAGCACAGCATTGGGTCAGGACCACTGTGAGCTGGGCAAGTGCTCGGCTGATGTATGAAAGAAAGAAGCAAACAAACAAACAAAAAAACCTGTATCTGAAAAGAGCGTAATCAGCCTTATGAGACCAGCTAGTCCTTAGTGGTACAAAATTCCTCATCCTGATTCTTTCTTGGCAAAACAGTGGGATGAGGTTGCTATTGGTGTTCTGGCGGCTTATTGCTAGGTGTGCTTGTGTTTGCCTGCTGTGGGGAAGGAGAGGCAGTCATGGGCAGGGAGGGAAGTTTGAGGCTAACAGAGTAGAGAGACAGATGATGAAGCAGGGGGAGAAGGAAGGGGACAATGCACAGCCAGGCTGTGGCACTATTACTATCTGCATAGACACAATTCCTCAGGTTGGTCAAAAATACTGTTAAGATTTTTTTTTGTTTTGTTGGTTTTCAATTTTAGGCGAGACAGAAGCAGGCACGGCCTTGGCAGAAACCTACCCAAATGCTCAGTCAACAGCTATCTTCCTGGAGACAGTTTGGTAGAAGACGCCACGCAGCAGAGAGGTATAGTCGGGCACACGGAAGAGGTGGCGCTCCCCATAGACCACATCGTAATCTGCACTCTTCCCCGTGACCAGGACACGGATGTTGGGCTCGTTGGCTTGGCTGCCCACTGCCAGCACGTAGATCTCGATGCCAGCCTGCTGAGCTTCCTGCACAGCCCTCTCAATGGCCCTCGGGGTGATCCCTTGAGAGTTGCCATCAGAAAACACCAGAACCCTCTTTTTCGCCCCAGCACGGGACGACCGCTGATACAGCCCCGTGACGTACTGCAGAGCGGCATTGACATCCGTGGCATCATTAATGAACTCCATGTTGTCAATGGCTTTCGCAATGACTGTGTAGTTGTACTGGAACTGAGCTTCCACTTTCTGCTGGTTCCTGCCGCTGTACTGGACCACCGAGACGCGCACGGAGTCGTCGGCAGGCTTGCCGGCCTCCAGGAACCGCTCCGCCAGCCGCTTCACGAACTTCTTGGTGGTCTCGAAGTTCTTGCTTCCCACGCTGGTGGAGCTGTCCACCAGCAGCGTGATGTCTGCCAGCCCGGCGAAGGTGACTGCAAGGGAAAGGCCCAGGGCTCGTTACGCTGCGTTTCTCCTCCTGTCTCTTCCACGGAAAGTCGGTGAGGTCACCGGCTGTCTCGCAGGCTTCCTGCCTTGTCAGGCTTGGGAAATCCCCACGCTCTGGGTGTTTGCTAGCTTGGTTTCCCCTACCCCAGTGCAGTGCTGTCCTACACTCGTCCTTTTACCTTTTCATTCCTTCTTTTATTTGGTTTACTTCAGGCTGCGTTCCCAGGTACTTATCTGGCTTAGCTAATCTAGTGACTCTTGCAGCCTAAACACGGCGCTGTCCTCGCATGTCTGGGGAACCACTTCGTCTTCCGAGGCCAGCTTCTTTCCGTGATGAGTCTGAGGATTGTATACGCTTCTGACTTGGAGGCGTACCCCGCTAAATTCCTCCCTGCGCTCACCTTTCAGGCACCTTTCTCAAATATCCCTGCCACGGTGCTGACTTTTCCTCGTGCTCCCACCACCACACAGCACTCCATCTCACTACCTGCCTCAGCTAAAGCCTGCGAGGACTAAAATCTGGCACAGCCTCCTCTCTAGGTTTGAGGTGCCAGAAAAGCAACTTTCTAGGCTTCTTGTCCAGGTGCTTTGGGCTGGCGTGTGTGCATGTGAGACCCCGCTCACTTCTCCAGCCCAGGAGCGTCCTTGTTGCAAGAGGCCTCCAAGCTACTCGCTCCCACAAACTCCCACTTCCACAGCACCCACAACCCCTATGAATGGCACGAGGAGTCAATACTCACTTGGGCAGGTGTAATCCGGACATTTCTTCTCTGTTAAGAAAATTAGAAAGAGTAACGTCACCAGCTCACCCGGGAAAACCACTTCTCCTATAGCTTCCCACCGAGACACGGAAGGGACACGCGCTCACCTCCGTCACAGCCACACTGTGCAAGGCTCTGTGCATATGCTATAAATGTGCACCAGAAAGCACAGAGGTGCTTGAAAAATGCTGTGGACAGGGATGTCCTGCAGCAGGAGAGGACCTGGACCCAGGTGCATAGTGTTCTGAGACACGAGATGTCCTTGTCTCTTATTTAACTAAACCTTGAACGTCGCTCTCCTCCCTCAACATCTGCGTAAGAGCATGACTGAGGGAAGGCAAGGGAGGACAGCCTGCATCCCTCACCCATTGGCTGAGGCAATCCTCACTACCTGCCTTATTGCCTCCAGCCACATCCTTTGACCCACCTTGGCAGACGTATGAGGTGATGTTCTGCAAGAAGGTGTCATCCAGGAGCTCGGCGTAGTTGTCCCTTTGAATGGACAGTCCTGGCCTGGTCGGTCTGCTTAAACAAGCGATGTCATTCAGGTGATCGGGATTTGGAGGGTTCCGGAAAATGTCACCTATCCCAAGGGAAACCACCTGCAGGGAAGTTAGAGTCCATCACAGGATGCATTCATCACCTGATGCATTCATACCTTGAACACCCATCACTTTGAGAAAGTGCTCCTAGTGACATGTGTCCCCCCTGCCCTAGCCATGGGTAGCAAAGATGTGGAGACCCCCAGAAAGCCTGCACTACTCTGATGCACAGCTGCTGTCCAGCGGTTCCCTGCGGGCAGGGTGCTTCCTCGTGCCCTTACCGGAGTGACATCACACAGAGAGTTGAGCGGCGTAGGGTCCCGCAGCGTGTCGGAGCGTCCATCCGTGATGACGATGGCGACGCGCTTGTCAGAGGTGAATCTCCGCAGCAGGTTTTCCTTGGTGAACTGCAGGGCTTCTCCAGTGTAGGTGCCCCCAGCTATCCATTTCAGGTTCTTGACTGCCCTGCAAGCACAGACCCCAGTGAGCCTGCCTGCCCTGCCCCACGGATACTGAAGGAGCCCCTGGGAACACGCATCTCTGACATGCTCGCGAGGCAGCACAACATCCCTGCACGGGGGCTTGGGTGGAAAACTAGCAAGCTCCTTGGCCTAAGCACCACCCACAATACCACCAACCCCTACTTTCCACTAAAGAACATTTAGCATCCTTGCAGTTGCAGGAGCCACTGTCCTGGAGATGGAGGGTGGGAGATGAGTAGGTGTCCCTGGGTCAGGTCTCTGCGTGATGCGCCGAGACCCCACAAACTCACTGTTTGAGTGCTCCGATATTGTCTATGTTGGCATCCCCCATGGCCACCAGCTCCTGCGTGTTGTCATGGCTGTACTGCACAACGCCCACACGGGACTCCCCGGCTTCAAACTGTTGGAAAAAACAGAAGCCAGCGTGGGTCAGATACCTCAGGGTGCCCTGGGGAACTCGGGAATCCCACTGGTGGTCTGTGACGACGCCTTCACGGCAGGCTCTGCCGCCTTTTCTCCGCCTTATTCCAGGCGGAAGGAGCCCCAACAGGAGTGGAGGGCCAATTCAGCGAGCCAGTCAGTGACACAAGACCCAAACCTGGGTTTCCCGCCTCAGTAGTCTCCACACAAGCCTTTTGCCATGGTGGGTGGCTAGGAATAGGTCTTTTTTCAGAACTCATGTTTTTCTTCTAACACAGTGGTTTTGCTGCCCAGCTCTAGCTTTCTGCTTGTTACCAGCTCTTTGCTGGCCAAAGAGATCCGTGCACGCCCACACAAGTGTCCCACGGCAGGTCACTGTGGCTTTACACCTCGTGTGCTGCAGATGTGTCTGGTCATACCTTAAGGAAAGACTGGATCCCAAACATCCCTTCCAAATCACAGAGGTAAAGGAAATTTCCCATGCACAGTGGGTTACCAGGGAAGAGTTGGGACAGTAAGCATTCGTGTCCCTCTTCAGATGGAAAGACTCACTACTGGGACAACATTGCTGGTTTGGGTTGCAAAGGTCCTTTTTAGCAGTGTGCTTAACTGGGAACCACAACCCAAGCCTGGGGTCAGACAAGGGTTCCTGGGGGAAGTCGCAACACACCTCATGTGTTATCTACTCCAGCCACCTAAATGCTCATCAGGACAAGGAAAAGACTGTGAGACTGACTGATCAGGCCAATGCTTTATGAGCCATCTGCTCTGGGACACGGAGGGAAAGTTCACAGCCACAGCAGCAGCAGTCTCTTTGCCCAGAAAGAGCAAAATGTCTGTATTTTGGGACAAGAAACTTCTGTCTCATCTCCATCACTATGAATCTGGGAGGAATAAAGACCCAACCTAGTGAAGGCTCTTTGGAGTGGAGGCATCTCCCCATTTTTCTACTTGCAATAAAAAATGAGTGCACACAAGCGTATCCCAGCACACGGTGGAAATCTCACCTTCACACGCTCATCCTTGCTCAGGCGGTCAATGACTTTGATGATGAAGTCCTTGGCAATCTGGAAGTTCTGCAGGCCAATGCTCTCCGAGCTGTCCAACACGAAGAGGAGGTCGACGGGACCGCAGGTGCACTCTGCAGCAAGGCACAGGAGCGGAGGGGCTTGCGTTTGCTCCCTGAGCAGCTGGCTCAGAGCGGCAGGTTTTGCAGGGAGGCATACCAGGACAAGCAGCTGATGCCTGCTGTTAGTCCCAACCAGGCGGGTGCCTGTGTCCTATCTACCCGCAAAGCACAGCGTAAAATAAAGCGGCAAAATGGCTGCATAGGAGACTTGAGAGTCAGTTTAACTATTTTTTCCATTTTCATTTTGCTCAGCGCCCCTTATAAGACATGTAGCATTTCCAAGCTGCGAGTACCCTTAAAACACCCAGTAATTATTCCAAAACCCATTTCCTCATAAGCCTTCTCACTTCTTCCATTCACCCAGCCCAGGAGGACAGAGGTGACAGTGGTGGGCTGGAGGAGGCTGACTCAGCTTGCTCCCCTCTTTCCCATGGCTGAAGGACATCATGTGCCCTTGGCTCTTTCTTCGAGGTTTTGGACTGCAAACCCAACCCATCAGGACAGCATCAGAGGAAAAAAAACCAGCACATTTCTCTGCAGATCAGCACAGGACTTGGAAGGAGGAGGACAGAGCTGGATCCACAGCGTGCCCTGAGCTGACGTCCCTTTCAACTGCAAAAAGGGTGGAGAAAATCCGCCTGCAGTTTGCTGGCACAGGGCACCTCGACAACAGTTTTCCAGTTGTAGGACCCAGCCCCAGCAGCCTCTGAACGCACGCAGCACCTTTGGGGAGAACTCGCTGCCCTCCCCTGCCTTGCTTATGCCCGGGTCCTCCCTCCTGGGCTCTCACCACGTCTCCACAGCAGAAGGCAAGGAGCAGGGAAAGGGAGGGAAGCATGCAAGGAGAAGGGCTAGCAAATGTTTGCAGAGCGACTTTGCCAAGTAACACTCACCGCAGCAAGCTAGAGGAGAAGGGAGAGAAAGAACGTTAAAAAGTTTGACACAAAGGGTTTTCACGCACTAATGCAGACTGCAGGTTTGTGCTTCTGCAAACCCAAAGACACCCGGTCTGGACATTTCAAGCCCATGGAGGTTTCCCTCCTGTTTGAAATATCCAGATCTCCCTCCTGTTTTGGATTGTGCTGCCCCGACCTGGAGCACTGCATGCAGCAGAGCTCTGTTTCTGCACATGCTGATGCATTCTTATTTAAATAAAAATAAAAGCTAGTCCTGGAGGGATTCAGTAAATCACCAGAGTCTGTAGCTGAATCTCAGTTGCCTAAGTACCCTGCGTACTTCCAGCACTTCATCACTGGCCGTGGGCCAGAAACCCTTTGCAGCACGTGTGTACTGCTGCTCCCCATGGCAGGACACCCCAGAACAGACCTCCCTTTCCCAAGGGGGAAAGTCAGGCCTTGTTATTGAAGGAAAAAAAAAAAAAATTGTAAAATGATCCACATAAAGATTTTACACAACTTTGCTCATTTTTTCCCCTGAAGGGTAATCGTGTATGTATAGAGCCACAGACAGACCAAACCAGTCTGCAGCATGCACAAGTGAAACACAGTTGCACGACCTACTCTAGAGATGGAGCTGGAAGTCCCTGGGTCAAGAGAAGGGAAAAGACTTGTGTAAAAGATTTGCCTCTTTTGGGGTGCTGTCCCAGCTACAGGGAGGACCGCCCACCTTTCTCCCAGCTCCTTGACTTAATTGTGACTCGTGGAAGGGCAGCGATGCCCACATCATCCCTCTGCATGCTGCCTGGGGGTGGCCCTGCTCGCTGGGGGATGGAGAAAAAGCAAGGAGCTGAGCAGGGCAGGAGGAGCGAAACAGGGATACTCACAGCACATCTTCATGATGATGTCCAAGATCTCACATTCCTGAAAGCAGAAGTAAAGAAATGTTTGAATAACAGTGAAGGCAGCTTCCTGGCTCCCAGGTGCTGCCCACAACCCCGCTGCGGCTTTGTGCCCTCAGAGCAGGTCCTGATCTGGAAGTGAGTGATGTGTGAGCAGGGTGCACTACAGAGGAGATGGCTGGTGATGGACTGGCATGAAGGAAATCTGGCCAGGGAGACTCACTGGGACAGTAATGGGGGGCAGCCACCACCCAGCCCAGGAGCAGGAGGCTCTCCCAGCAGTGACACCCCCCCCCATCATGGGGGGCAGGGGAAGCACAGACCAAGCAAGCAAGCAGCGCCCCGATCCTGTGCCACTCACATCTGGTCCTGGAGGCCCCACAGGTCCTGGTGGTCCCTGTCAAACAGAAGCGTGGGGAGAGCAGTTACAAGAGCAGCCAGTCCTATCTGCAGCAATACCTTGCTAAGCAATGCAGAGTCTGCAGACTCTTGGCTTCCCAGTTGCTGGCCCCTGCACCGGCCTTTGAGCAGGTACATCCGCTTGCTTGCACGATGCCCTGGGGCTGCATGGGGGAGCGGGGGGGAAGGAGACCCACTTCCACGTGTGCCATGCCCACCGAGGTGGGAAGGCAAGTTCTTGCTACAGGCAGTGAGCATGCACACCGCGTGTAACACGGCTTGGCGTTGCCCCCACAGCACAGAGGGGATAGACGGATGGATGGATGCCATTTGCTTGGAAGATGCCTCTCCTGTAGCCTTTGGGCCAACACAAGGCAACACCAGCAAATGGCGACTCAACACAAACTGAAACGCTTTCAGGTTCAGGATGGCAACCCCGAAAGGCTGCTCATCCGTACTGAACCTGATCATATGAGAACGCTTTGCTCATGAAAAAGCACAAGTGCCTGCATTTTCTGCCCTGATTTGGGATGAACATGATTTCAGTTCAGGCTGCAGCAGTAGTTTTACAAACTGCCTTACTCCTGCTGTGAGCAGGGCCAAGCAGAGCTAGTCTGCAGTGAGCTCTGCAGTTGGAAGCTCCACCAGCACAGCACGCTGCGCTCATCGGTGCAAACCCTGCCAGGGTCCTTACTTACCGGGCGGCCTTCAGGTCCCCTATGGCCCTTCGCTCCTTTGATGCCCCTGGGGCCAGGGGTTGGGTTCTGGAATGAAAACAGAGACAAAATTCACAAATCTGCATGTGTCAGGGTGCAGCACCTTGCCCTCTAGATGTTTGCTGAGCCCTGCGTAACCACAAAAATGTTTTCTGAGATTGCTGTACCCAAGCAAATGAGTTAGGACACAGAAAATCTCCCTCCGCAGGACAGCGGTGCAGCACAGATGCAACCACTGGTGCCATCTGGAAACATACAAAACCTTGTGGAGATGATACCCACCTCAACCTAACAGATCTGGAGGTTTGCCAGCCATAAGCTGTAGGACACAACATGAACATCTGGAGAGAGCTCTCCTTGCCATCAGACACTGCTCAGCGGCAAAAGGCGCTTTGCAGACTTACAAAGCCTGATAGGCTCCAACCCACAGGCAAAGTAGTGTTAGAGACCCAGCCCAAAGCTCCTGCCCCGTGTTCGCAGAGAAAGGCGATTCAGCTTTATACAGACTGCTCACATCATTGCCAGGGTCGCCAGCTTCTCCTTCGTCACCTTTAGGACCGACATAGCCTTTCGTTCCCTGAAAAACAGTACGGAAGAGACTCCTGCATGGACAGCTGGTGGTGGTGGTGGCATGCAGTGACCTTGCGAGAGCTGGCTTGGGAGGGCGGGAAAGGGTCCTTAGTACCAAATTGCGGTGCAATTCAGGGAGAGGGCTTCTTAGGTGGCTTTCACTGTTCTAGCACCATCCAGCTCCCCCTGGGTGGCAGTCCCAATCCCAAATGCTGTCTCCAGGGCCGCATCGGAGAGCACTCAGCCCAGGCTGCTGCCCTTGGGTGTTACTACCAGTGCACCAAGGCAGGACACTTCCACCAGAAGCATCCACTGCAGGGAGAGGTGGGCAGAAGGTAAAGAAGGTTTTGGAGGAGCAGGCTGCTTCAGGGAGCTGACAGAGAGGCTCTAGGAGCCAAACCACTGGCCCAGGCAGTTTCTGTTGGGTGTATGAGGAAGCAGCACACTTACGTTAATGCCAGGGTCACCTCTGTCTCCTGGCTGCCCCTGGGGATGAAGGAAAGGAAGCATGTTAGGTCGGAGAAGCAGAAATAAGAGTTTTACAGTTTCAAAACAGCACAAGAAAAACTTACTGGGGCGCCTGTGAACCCAGTCGTGCCGTTCCCAGGAGGGCCATCCTCCCCCTAGAAAGGAAGGGAGAAATATGTGAGAGAATGAAAAGCAGACCCCTTAGATAGCACGGCAGCAGGATCCTGCCCTCCTTGGACAGTTTATTTCCACAGCAAAACATCTGTGCAAAAAATACACAACTGGTGGGTTGGACACTGGTGCAAGCAGGTAAAAAGGCCAACTTGCTTGTGTGACACCAGCACGGCCACTGAGAGGAGAGTGACACCGTCTCTCTCAGAGACTGGGGATATGGCCACAGGCTGGGAAGTATCGGGTCTCTGTTGCTGGAAAGTACATCCCAAAATACAGGTCTTTGAGCCTGCAGATGTGATGCATATTCAAAAGCAGGCTGCTTGCAAATTTTCCCAGCATCTCAGCTGTGTATGAAGGTAATTTCTTTTCTCCCTGAGTTGGATCACATTGTGTGGAGCCAGCCTGTTGTACCATCCTTTCCACATGGCATGCAATCCCCCCAAACAGACAGACTCACCCTCTCTCCCATCAGGCCAGGGTCTCCAGGCAGCCCAGGTGCTCCAGGCAATCCCTTTGGGCCCTGGAAGGAGCAGAAGCAGCAGTCAAGCATTGCACACCGTCCTTTGAGCTGGGAAGACGATGCCTTCTAAGGCAACCAGCTACCATCACAAGCCCATCACGGGAGATGTTTAGCTTATACAAGAGCAATGCAAAGCCCACAGCTGGGCTCAGGATTCAGCTTGCTCCCTGCCCTGGGGATCAAATCTGCCGGCAGGTTCAGGTGGCTGCCCTTGGAGAGCAGCTCCCTCACCTTCTGTGATGGGAAGCCACGTGGCTTGTGGTGTGGCTACACCCCCTCCATGAAACAGCCCCTGGGAGGTGGGGAAAAAGGCAGCCATAGCCTTAAGGACCCATGAAAAATGCCTCAATGTGTCTGCCAGGAAGCTAGCACCTGAGTTTGTATCTACAACAGGTTTCCAAGATCTGAAGGATGTGGGGACAGCCCTAACGGGGAGCATCTCATGGTCTTCCCTTCATTCCCTCCCCACAGAAGACGTGGTGATGAAGCAGCACTAACCTCATTGCCGCGGGGACCGTCGTCTCCCCTGTAGCCCTTGGGTCCTGGGGGTCCAACCTCGCCCTGGGGAAACACAAAGAGCTCTCACAACAGGGATTTTCTCCTGGTGCTGCCCCTGCCCTGAAGGGCTGGTCCCTTCGTTTCATGAGGTGGTGGGTGGGGGCATCCGCCTCGTGCCTTGCACCCATCGGTGAGTCACCTCCACCTCGGCCAGCCTCACAAGAAAGGACCCATTGACAGGGGTTAACGCAGGTGGGGAAATGCTTCAGGAGCTGCGCCTGGCTCCCCCTGTGCCCCCCGCCTGCACGGGCTGCAGCTCCCCACGCTTCCTCACACCCTGCTTTCTCTGCAAAGCCCTGGAGGCAGCCCTGGCTAGATCCCCGCTGAGCACGAGCCAAAACAAGAAGCTTTCTGGCCAAGGTGTGACGCTGCAGGCATGGGTTGAACGCCATGTGCTCTCAGCGGCGGCCAGGCTGCGGGAGGGAGCATCCCTGAGCAGAGCCTCCCAGGTCCCCACAGCCTTCCCTCTGCTCCACACCTCACTCCAGCAACAGAGGACCTGGTGGGGAAGAGGACCAGGGAGGCAGGGGTGATGCTGTCTAGCAGCAAAGCGCAGCTGGGTTGCACAGCGGCAGCTCATCGGCTGTGACAGTGGTGGCCCCGGGGCAGAGAGCGGTCCTTGGTGGAGCATGTCACCCTGAAGGTGACACAGACCTCCTTGCGCAGAGGCCCTCCCCATGCCGCGGGGCTCGGACATGTCTGGGTCGCAGCCGGGCTGGCAGAGGCCCTTTCGTGGCTCCGGGGAGTTTGTGTCCTCAGGAGGCTGCAGAGCCCTGGCAGCGTGTGCTGGAACGGACCAAAGCTGTCACTCTGCCACATCCCATCTGGGCAGCGGCCGCTCGCTCCGTCAGCTGCAGGGCTGGCTAGGGACGGCCAGAGAGGAGGCGGGAGGAGATTTTCTTTTTTTTTTTCTCCGAGAGCTCCAACAGATGTCCAAGGGAGCCCCTCCACCTTCTGCTCGGTGCCAACAGCCCTTTGCGGGGTTTACTTGCCAGGACGTAGGTAACGATAGCAGGTAACGATGCTCTTCCCCACGGGTGCCAATGCTCAAGTAAGGCAGCATCTCCCGTGGAGCTGGGTGTGCAATCAGTCCCCAGGCGATGGAGATGACAGAGGTAGGCAGAGAGCAAGCCGTGGTGGGAGAGCACAGTGGCTCGGCAGTTGGCCCCTCCACCATGGCTGCTTCAGGCGGCGGGCATGCCAGTTTGACTCCCGATCCCGAAATGCTTCCTGCAACAAGCCATGCGACTGGGGTCTCCTGGCAGGGAGCACTCGCTCAACGGTACCTGGGCTTCAGCATCGCAGCGGCGCATGCCCAAGAGCTTCCTCCATACTTCCAGTGCACCAGCAGCACCTCTGAGCTTTTTGGGAGCTGCCTCAGTGCGGTGGCTCAGCCTGGCCCAGCTTTGCTCTCACCACCCGAAAGCCAAGGAAGCTGAAATCCCCTCCAGCTGTCATCTCTGCTCCTCCTCGCACGACAGCGGCTGGGAGAGGCTGGTGCCAAACATCCATGCACACCGCATGCACCCTTCTTCCAGGGAAAGGCGTGCATGTGGGTGCAGAGGACTAACAATTACACGGTGCAGAGCACTAAACTGCTCAAAGGCATGTGACCTTATTTCTGCACAAAAGCCCAGAAGAGAGAAGGCTGGGAAGGCGGGACAGGAACTCATGATCGTTCACATCAGCCAAAGCTGGATCCACAGCACCCTTGGCTTGCACTGGCCGTGCACATCCTCGCTGTAGCACACAGTGCAAATCCCTCACGGCCCTGGAGGACTTTATGAAGATGCAGGATTTTGGGTTGGGAAATCTTTAGCAGCTCCCTGTCCGCTACCTTCCTGGGAGTGACAAGAACCGCAGGAGGGATGGGCACCATGGCCAGTAAGACAGAGGGACCACCCAATCTGCCCTGAGG